CATCCGAAGGGCGTACGAACTAAGCACTCAGTCACTGCGCTTCGTCCCGCTGCCTTGCGGGTTAGGCTTAGGGTAGCTAAAGGCTCTAGATGTGGACCCCCAAGAAAACCACCTGCTTTGGTCTGCGCAAATTGACGGTGCTGCGTCCACAAGCAAAGCAAATCATGGAATCTCACTCCGCACGCATATATATATATATATATATATATATATATATATATATATATATATATATATATATATATATATGTCTAATGGCGACAACAACATAAAATCACCGATTGGGGCAAGTGGCCAGCGGTGGCGGCCAGGTTCGAACCTCGGACAGAATGGTCTAAATTCTATCCAGATAGCCGTCCGATCATTGTCGCTCACACATCTCTCGGCTATCCAGTAGCGTAAGTGTAAACGCCCGGAGTGACGTATCAAACAGCAAATTCTTCACGTTGACAGTTTTTACTTGAATCCTGGGGTAAATTCTGTGATTTGAAGTTTCATTTTATATACTGACCTTCAGTACCGGAAGTTTAAAAAGTAGGGCATTTTTAGTTTTCAATTATCCAGCCAGTAAAATCTCCCAAGATTAACAGAGTGAATCAGAATATGAAGTTTCCTCCGCCGGTCTCACTTGACAGTGTTCAGTTTACTTGCGTCGTGAATAATACTTTCAGACTCTGAGTAACACTGTACACGGTTTAGCATGTTACGGAGTCCATTCTTAGGTGATTCATACAAAGCTTAAGCCACAGTTGAACTAAGAACAAATCCAGTAGGTTTAGATCCGTCCGTGTAGGCTTCCCTCTCGATGAAACTACATCTTTAAGTAGTGTGATAGTTCACATGCCTCCACGACCCAAACAGCTATAAAGGATGGCTTTCTTAAGCCAGAGATACAATCTTGCCTGGTCGATCGGTAGAGGTCAGATGAGGTTCAGACTGTCTGAACCAATTGGTGCGCAATATCTGCTTCTTACGATCAGCTACTATACCTCTTGGGATAACATTACAGTAACTTAACACAGAAAGAAGCAGTCCATAAACCTCCAACAGATAGGGTTTCTCGTGACGAGAGAGAAGTGAGAAGTCACTACCCTGAATTGGGCTGCTATCCCCCGTCAAAGTTCCAAAGCCTACAGCTACAAAAGTACTGCTTCGTACACATTGCACTAGCCCAATTAAGTGCACGGACCTAAGGACTCGATCCAAAAACGGACTGACAAATTTTGCACCAGCGAAGAAGGAACAGAAAATAAAGAAACAGATCTCGCGTTACAGAATAGTAGCGGTTTTCCACCAGTGCTTCGGTGGCGCTCCCGTGCTAGGTTAACGCCCAACTACCTTGTGAGTCAGAGTGTTCGGTTGAAGTCTTTTGTGTGCTAAGGGGAGCCCATTCTGGAGTGTGCACAGCCCGAATTGTCGTTCATTGACAAACTTCCAGCACTATTTCCGAAAAAGCACGGAAGTGTACTCATTCCCACTAACCAACAATCTGACCGGTCCTAAAGCTCCGAATGGTTTTCCCAGTTTGGGATCGCCACATTCCTACAATCTATATTAATGCTGATCATTTCAATGCACTATAGCTAAAATGCATGCATCTCAATTTCTTTAGAAGTGTAGTTAATGGCGTCAAAAAAAATCAACAGACTGTAAGGAGTAGGCAATAAGCGGCCATTTTGGCGTTCGTCCTATGTGAATGTAGGATCCTATTGCTGCATTAACTGGTCTTCCGCTTGTGTTTTTCTTGCTTTGTAGATTGGACATGTGCAACTCCCTTCAGATCCTACTACCAAGCACTAGTGACGATGAGGAGTGTAGGAAAGTGTTCATTCATGGAAAATACATGGCGTGAAACCTGTAGAGCCGTATTTACTTCTTGCATTATCAACACATTACCGAAGCCCTGCTGATCCAAATTACGAGGTCAGATCAATGTACAAAAGTCAGTCTGGCACAGGTTCTCATCTGAATAGCAGATGGGATTAAGTAGACGCATCATACGAAGAAGAATCTTACCAGTTTTATTAGAACCTGGTACTGTAATCGTTGCATAAACATAAGGGTCATCCCGTCCAAGGATAAACAATTCAGGACGACCATCATCCCTCGCACCAGGCGCTCGGTGAGCCTCGATAATTTGGGTCACCAGACATTTACTCATGAGTAAACATTTATGTGATGAACAGAACTGCGTTGAAACCACTCAGTTCTGTCCACCTGATATTGTATGACTGAACTTTTTCCATTGTTTGCGAGGAACGACTGATATTTATTGTTGCCACCCAGTAGGTTGAAACCACAGGTCTAATTCTGATTTCCATCCATACCAACCGTTATAGATTGCCAGTTACATGGACAGTTTACACAGAAGTGAAAATTTGGAAATAAATTATAAAATGCGAAAGTTTTTCTGTTACAACAGATTTGCAATAAGGAAAATCGTGAGCACATTAAACAGACATGTATGCACATTTTAACCTGTAAAATTTAGACATTCACAACAATTAGATTTTTGTCGATCTGAGACAATTGTACGGTTATTAAGTTCACTGCACAGTAATAATTTACGTTTCTCATTTTGATTACTTTCAGCTGTCATTCTGGCCAAAAGTTAGTTACTTATCAACATCTAAACATGGCGTTGAGCGGAAAGAGACTTCTACGGCGTTCTTTTTTGATCATCAGTATTAGCGGTGGGTCAGTAGCTGAAATTATCGTCTTAAAGACGGTAAAGTCCATTCAAATGACGAGAAAGAATAAGTGCTGCTTCTGAGAGTAGACATGCGATGTTAATTTTTTAAAACTAGCTGGTGGGTCGGGGTAGTTCGTTATTGTAAATGGGTTGCTTATTTAAAGCAGACCAGGATTTTAAAATATTTTATGCATCCGGCACAGTTGTTGATTAGGCTAGGACCTCGAAATTCGGATTAGAACAGTTGCATTTTACTGATCGGGCATCGTCGACAGTCAGTTGTTATAAAATCGGTGCACATTTGGAACACAGCATCGTTCCTGAACAACAAGGAGTACAGTGACAAGACGTTGCGTTCTTTAACGCCATGTTTACTGCAGTTTTAACAGGTGTTCCCGGAGTAGTCTTTATGGTCACAGGCAATTTCGGCGGTCAGCTGCTAAGAAATAATCATTCGTCAAACTCATAAGTTGGGAACCCGGCACCGCTAGTTAGCTCGTAAATTCATATCGTGTTCATACGTCATATCGCAATCCAACTAGTTGAACCGATTTGAATCTGCGTACATTTTCTATTGCTACCCTTGAACACAGCAGTCGTTTATTCAAACCAGGTCTCTGATTCACAGTCACCTTTCAATATCCACTTCCCCGTGGGGTAATCGAACTCAAGTGATACTCTTCCATTTTCCACCATTCTGAGAACGATTTGGGGGACCGTTAAACTGGTTCTTATACTCTGCTCGGAACAAATGTTCATCCACTTCACGATGACTTACTCTGATGCAATGGCGCTTCACACGCTACTGATAAGTCCCCAATGTACAGTACGAACACTCAACACGGAAGACGGTCGATGATGTTATGCTTGTATTTCGACACCCTCGTTTTCACTGGGAATTGAAAGCGTGATCCCAAGTTATAGCTAACGTGAAAAATATAGTCTGGGAACAGCTGAATGAATCTATCTACTTCGGTACCTGGGTTCAAAGGTAGAAAAATCTAAGTTTCAGAGTTTCATAGAATCATACATGAAGTAACCCATTTACCTACACCTTGGATGCCTCGGCAACATCCTTGATTAGCATAGGAATTTGAAATAAACTTATGCACAAGTTACACGGTTGCACCAGGGACTTGACTACAAAAAGCAACCTGTTTCAAGAGTCCCATAAATACTCTTTCAGAAAAGAGACGTGCCAATTTCACAGCTGATCATTTTTATCATGCATCTCGATTACGTACCGCAAGAATCCGGTAGCAACTGTTAGCGAACGTGAGAGACCCATACACTTGGCATGAAAGCGACGTTATTACACTAGCTTGCCGATCAGCCGCACTGCCAATTCAACCATTTTTAAATATGGGCTAAAATGCGAAAACAAAAAGAACTTCGTGAAATGATTTATCGTGCTGTATTTAAACTCAGCTCACCAATGAAAACCACGGAAGCACTGTACAGCAGCTTCATCCGGCTGGTGCACATCTAAGGAGTCACAATTGGGACTTGAACCCGAGATTTACGATTGAGTCGAACATCAGACCACCAGACTACTCGGAGTGACTCACAATGGTTTGTTTAATGTTAAGACTGTATGACAGCGTCCTTCCTTCTACGCTCGCACAGCGATTCACTCGTATGATGGACGACTTCTGTTTGCAACAACCGTCCCCGTTTATTCAAATGAACAGTCGACTTCGACAATCCAATAATTAGTATCAGGTCACTGCAGTCTCTTCGAGTAATGTAGATAAACGGCCCAGATTGGATACTTGAATTTATACTCATTATTGAGCAGACACAATACGAGGTAAAAAGACGTGAGGATGATATCTGGTGTAGAACAGAAATTAGATATAACGGGAAAATGTCGAAGTAAACTCGCGGGGCTAGTGGCGTCATCGAGGAGAGAAGGGGCAAATGGCTTCTCCCAAAAGAAATCACATCATGCACTAGACCGGGAAAATCAAAGAGGAGCGAATTCCCATGAAGTCTGCCCAAATTGATTCTACTTGATAAAGGTAAAGCTGGCAAATGAGAGAAATTACAAAACGCCAAAAAATCGACGGTATTCAGGTGACGATGAGAAAACCATTGAAAAACTAAAGTGAATAACTTCTTTAAAAAAGGTACGAATTCAGGCAATCGCCGATAAAACCAAGGAAGTCTTCTTTTCGGTTCGATTCGCATCAAGGCGGAGATAGATAAGCAGGGAAGTGTGCCCATGGACTCATCTTGGATAACCGGTGTGTACCAGTTGCGGTACAACTTCATATTTTCCATCTAGAAAATGCTTAAATTCTGACGCTTACAACCCCGGGTGACTTTCAAATGCAAGTAAGGCCAGAGCTCGGTGCAACCGGAGCTGATCCATGAAACCCATATTCAGGTCACGGCGCAGACTGAAAGAGAGACTTTCCGGTGCAGCTAAACGGAGTCTGGCAAGCTCCGCCAGTAATGGGCCATCCAAGTCGGACAGAGCCTTTTCGTAGGCAGACAGTCCGTGTCTGGCAAGCCATTTAGACACATCCTGGGTTGTCCACGTGGCCAGGCTACCGTAGACTTGCCGGAGATTGGACGCATTCGGAAGAAGTAGAGTTGGTGAGGCAGCTACAAGTTCATCAGCATTCATTTGAGTAACCGGTTGCAGTTCAGCTTTCGAACTTGCATCACCGGAAGACGGTGAAGCATCTAAAAACAAGACATAAAAGTGGTCTATTAATCAGAATGCCAGATACTCATCTCTGATAGTGGTAAAGATATATCAAACAAAACCGTTACCAACTAAGATCAAAAAGGAGTATTTAAACTCTGGAACAAAATTTCCACACATCTAAAAGTGCATGGGCAGACGCAGTCCTCCACAGAATGAAAACAGCTAACTAAAAGTAAACACTCGTTACGATGGCTTTCTTTCAATGAACTGCAAACAAAAGGACGGTGTAGCCATCGGTTTGCAGTAGCTAGTAGCTAACCATGTCGCTCAATTTGAGAACAATGATGTACATAATTTCACCAGTGCTTCTCCTAGATACATACCCATCAAACATAACCAGAGAATCGTACGATCTTGAGAAATTAGAATCCCAGTTACCTCTCTTCTGGATTCGCAGGAATAACTTCCGACAGTTGCTAATCTGAGAACTATTAGCTGGCAAAGGACCTCTAGAGTCAAAGTAAAAAACGACTGAGTTATTCACACAACTGTGAAGTAATATGATTGGGGAATCCCCGGGAGGGACACAATAGACTGTAGCAGTTAGCAGAATGGCTACCACTCACCAGAAATGGGATTCTTTGCCGCACGACCATTAGCAGAATTAAAAGAAATTTTGCACCACAATTTATCTGGTATCGAGAGTTCATCACGATCACCGCTTTCAGTGGGCAACGAGGCACAAAGTAAACTTGGCAGCGCTAGTCAAATTTCAAGGACAAGACCAAATGAATCCAAAACCAGCCACCAACAGATCGCGGATTCTTCGCCGTGCCTAGCTATGAAAGAAGACAAATCGTCAGCTAACGACCAATGGAGAGGATCACAGGCCCATAACTGAATGACCCGCAGATTAACGAAACCCGAGTCTCAACGCAAAGAACACAAGCTCCATTTACTATGTGTATTATAGGACAAATTATCAAACAATAACAATAACGTACCTCAAATTGTGGGCAAAACGACCACAGAATCAAGAAAGTCAACAAAGGCTTCAAAACGCCCAGGCAACAACAGAAAAGAAACGCTTGAAACGGAAATGCAAGGGCAGCCAAATGGTTTACGAACAAAGTCCTCATTTATGGAAAGCATCTTGACCAATCAACGGTCAGAAGAGAAGTAATTGCCCGAGAGAACACACACACACATACACACACAAGCGTGGTGAAGAACAAACGGAATACCATGGCTATAAGAAAGTTGCATGATCATAGCAAGATAGTCCAGCTCAGTCATTCACACAGATAAGACAGATAGAAAGAGAAAGATAATTGCGTCCAAACGTTTGGGTCTTGTCAAGTAACCCACGCAATTATGACACAATAAATAAACAGCTCATGGATACTAGTGTGGGTCAGTGCGCAAACAGTCGAATGCGAGGAAGAAAGGCTACGTGAGCAATAAAATCTGTTTAGAATTAGAGTTTAATACGAACAGATAAAATCCACAATTAGACAACTGACAATTAAGGTCAATCGACACTTGTCGTAGAAACAAGGCTAAGATTGCGTGACACAATGGGATTGAACAAACAAAGCATCACGCGGGCGTGAAAGCGAGGGGGTGGTGTTCGGCGTGGAAGCTAGTGTTCAAAGTGCATGGAAAGCAAACGAACTGTTTGGTAAATACAAGAAAAACTTGTGATAGATAGCATGGGATCTGGACTAAACCAGTTTAAGGGAGTTCCTCGATATGGCGAGCTGGATTTCGTCGTCCAAATCCAATAAATCTCTTGAACTTAGAGGTCCCTTTAGTGTAAATTTTGCGCAGTCGAGCAGTGTGATAGCCCATAGCACTAACAGTCACGGAGTGTGCACACGTTTGTGGATCTCTGGGATGGTTCAGTGACCAATCTATCTATCTGTCTACCCCCACCTCTTCTAAAGAATTGATAATCGGTGTAATCTGGGTACGCACGGTACCAACACATTCTGGTGACTTTCAATGAACGAGAAAAAGCGAACAACAGTGAACCATGGTCGTCATTCAGACTTATTTCGACAAATACCCGTTTTCACACATCAAGGACGTGATTTCGAAGATTGCTGGCCGAGGTGTATTGAACATTCATGATTAGAAGAGTACTAATCAAGAGGTACCAATGAAAGTCGAAGTAGACCAGTACACAGGACTTGAGGGTTGCAGTCGTTTCCAACAGTTGTTTCGTAATTCATTTGGAGTGACTGACGGCGTTTCCCAATTTCCGCAGACAACAGACACGCTAGTATCTCAAGAGAAGTCTTTTGGAACAATCAAATATTGTCATGAAATAACTGTTGCATTAACACAATGAGAACGATTTCAATCATTATTTGGACAGGTTCCTTGAAATCGCCACCAAAGAGTGCATAACATTCAATCTATACGTTTCATCTGACCTAAAGCGACCCAGGAATCATTCATATGATTCATTTTCTGTCCACCCGAAACCCTCAATCCTCTGTTGTTTCATTTGAGGTTTTCAATACACCATGCACCTCCCACTGAAGCTACTAAATCTCTTGAGATTAAGCCTTCACTTCCAAGGACCACTACGATCATCCGAAACCGACAAAATTTATTCTCATGGTCGCTGGTGAATTCTTTCGTTTTCTTTGCTTACCGTTATTCAGATATTTTACACCCATGGCTATCAGGTGTCTTGGCGAGCTGTTTACTGCCTTTGACACGCCTGTGTATATTCACTCTGACCGCGGACCTTCACTCATGTGGTAAAACCTCGCATTCCTGCGCAAAAAAGCATAACCATCAACCACGCCACCGTTTACAATCCCAAATCTAACCAGTATGTTGAAAGTCGAAACATCACAATTTAGAAAGCCATTACTCTGGATCCTAAGTCTCGAGGACTGGAAACTCAATACTGGTAAGCTGGTCTCCTAGGTGCGCCGCATTCACTACGCCAAACGAGCGCTTGTTTTCTTCTAAATTTAATATCCCCCCCCCCTTCCCGCTGCCTTGACGACTTCTGAATACTCGCTAAGTCGGCCGACGGTGGTGAAACAATCGCCATAGTGAGCTTCACACCTGAAGGTCCCGGGTTCAAATCTTACGGCTATCGGTCAATTTCACATTCGGCAGACTCTAATTTGCCGCGATCTTTCTCCAGAAATGTTGTACAACTTCTGCGTGATAAATAAAAAGCTCAAAAAACATTGCATAATAAACATCATTATTAGTGCTATTATTACTATTTTCAAGTCTTGCAGACGTTTCAAGTACGATCCTTTGGCCGAGGAAGTAAAAACGCTAGAATCCAACACGATCTAAGCCCAAGTACAGTCCCTGGATGGCCGAAAAGACGCTGCCTCCATACGCCAACTGGTTCGTATTTCACCAGATAAGGACGATACATCTGTCCTCGAATCAAAGGCTGATCCAGAAACTCGGCTGAATACAACAACTCGCAACCAGAGTGCTGCCAACGATTCAGTGTCCGATGGATCCGCTGAATCTCATTAAGAATAGAACTCCGAAAATCCCCTCCAAAAACCACACGGATTTTGTCTAGGATTCCCGATGAATCGTGAAATTTAAATGTGTTTATAAACATATTGCCTACTAATCTCCATAACCGAAACCACCAAGGTTTAAAGAGATTTAGCATGCCGGGCTTTCGGATTTTTCAGAACACTGAACCGTATTTATACCCTCCATTAAAACTTTACGATGACCGATGGTGACTATGCCCCAAAAGGGTAAATATTGGTCCTGAAAACAGTAGATCTATTCTATGAAACGTCTCAAAGAACGTGGGTCTCAAAGTAAATGATGAAATAAAGCATTCCAAAGTACTCACTAAGACATTTTTGTGATTCGTTATTATCTCGTAGGAGACTGGCTTGAGCACTTTCAGCTGCAACAGAAGGTCGACGATTTTCTCTTGTATACAACGGATACTGATCAGAAAAGCTAGAGAACGAAGTCATCAGTGAACCAAACCGCAGGAATTCCGGTATATCTACAGCATCCGGATATGATGGCGAGCAACGACCGATATCACCAAGTTGCGTGGCCAACTGTTCCACAGCGCTTTCAATCATGGAATCTTCTGTCAGCGGTATATAGATAATTGTTGCCAAGACTAGCCCCAGCCAACCGTCTGCAGTAAAATCCGGTTCCAATTGCAATGGATAGAGGGGAACACCCAGCTTGTAAGCATAACGAACCTCCTGCCGACAATGAGGAGAATTCTTGAAAGATTGTGACACACCGAGTACTAGAGCTGCCGCATTCTCTATTGCGTCAGCCATGGCGTCAACAAAGGATCCACCTAAAGGGAGAAGAAGTTGAGTGCTATTCACAGTAGATGTTATAACAAAAAGATTTTATTCCAGATCCAAATATGGACCAGTGTGCTGCTATTTCGTTATCAAATTTACATCCCGCTTTCCCAACGACTTGATCTTTTCATCCAGCATACATGTCTAGACTGTTAAAGTGAATAAAGTCTTTGTTTGGAGCCTTTAATCTTCTCATCCAAACCACTGAACTCTGCTGTTATTCACTTTACCAACGGATTGACTACATTGACAGGAGTGTTTCGATGCTGATCTCAGCGGTCCTTTGACAGCTCAAGTTCAGAATCACTAGCTTCACACATTCAAAACCCTTTCTCCAGAATCGATTCTTCGGAATACCACAAACTAGACGATATCATTAGGTGCGTCGATCCTAAGGTCTACGAACACATTCCCGAACGTAAAACGTTCGAAATCGCTCTGAATGCTCCTGAACGCCTCTACGTGAAGCCAACAAATGAGATAGTTGCACGACACATGCTCTCTACACACACACAAGAAGCATGGCAGAATTTTATCAATTTTCCCAAAAGTTGAAGTCACTTGCAGAGCAGAATCAAAGCGATGCCATACGAGATGCATTTATAAACGGAATGTAGTCCAGAAGTACCAGGGAACGACCCCTAGAAAACAGAATGCCTGAACTGAAAAATCCTACGAACTAGCAAGGTTTCTATGAGTGGCATATCAACGGTGCTTTTCGTCCTATCAGCTCCGTTCACTCTGCTGTCATATCTGATGTCGACATTATAAGACGAATCAAGCCTCAAAACACGATAAAACTCAGTTAGAGAAAGAATATACATGCGACAAACAATGAACGGTGGACACTCCAGGCACTCACGTCCTAAATGCCCGGCGAAAGACGGTACCTGCAAAGGCCGTGGCAAGAAACAGCATTTTCAAAAGATTTATCGATCTAATTCCAATTCCGCTTCTTTGTCAGCAGTTCTCTGATATCACCACCGCTCCACTGAGCTTGACTAGGGTTGTCATATAAGTTTCTGTAAACGATATAATAATCTAGGATTCCGTTGACACCGGGAGTTCATATGGCTTTAATACCAGCACTGTGGTTAGGAAATACAACTGGAAAGTGGTGACTTCCCACAATACTGTTTCTATGGCCTCCACAAGTTTTAAAAGTTCTACCCTTGTGCATTGCTTTGTAAATCTACTCTACAACAATAGCCGTTAAGAAAATAACAAGCCTTCAGTTCGAATTGATCTTTGTGCTGGCGTTCTTCTTGGACATGATTTTCTACGTCTTCATAGAAAAGTAGAAATCTCTTTCTCTGACAACAAAGATACTGCCCAGTATGTGATACCGCTGACGCGAACGTCGATACCCCGTCCGTGTTCGACAAGCCGTTTTCATTGTTACCCAATGGCGATAAAGTCCCGTAGATATTCATCGTCAGAAGAATTATTCCCTAAGATGAAATTACAAAAGTTGTTGACAGACGGCGTCATGGAACCCGCCTTGGCGTGCACAAGTACTGGTCACGACTAACAAGCGTCATAAACGAAAAATGGTCACTGACTGCAGCCAGTTAACTAACCGTTTCACCCCCCCCCCCCCCCTTGACGCATATCCTTTACCAAAAACAGATGAGATAACAGAAAGGATCTTCCGATATACGGTATTCAGCCCAATGGACCTTAAAAGTGTATATCACCAGATGTCTATTATAGCAGATAAACATTAAACGGCTTTCAAAGAGAGTGAAAATCTCTATCAGTTCTGTCGGATTTCTTTTGGGATCATCAGAGACTTGTCTTACTTCCGACGTGTTACTGATCAGATGATTCGGGATGAAAACCTAGTAGCTACATTCGGCTACCTGGACAACATAACCGTTTCTGAAGAACATTGAAAGAAAAACCCGAACCCTTTCTGCGACACCTCTCGTGGGTATGCTCTCATATTTACCGACAGCGAAAGTATCACAATCAAGGTTTTTGGATATGAGGTTCCTCAAAGATCCATTAATCCTGATTCCGATTGCTTATAACCACCACTGGCAATAGATCGCCGCAGCGAATTGCTGGCCTGCTCGAGTGCTATTCGCAGTGTTTATTTCATTTTTTAGACAAGATTTATCCGTCAGTTCACTACTACACCTTTCCACTGCCAAAAAATGTCAAGACCGAGTATAAAAACTTGAAAGACAAATTGGAGCGGGTAATAGTTACAATCGTTCCACGTATATTTCCCTGGCCACCATTCTGTCACCGACTGGAAGACGCGCTGCCTTCTCCCGAACACTAACGGCCACAGAGCGGCATCATTCTTCCGTAGAGAAAGAGGTCTGTGCGATTACTGAGGCTGTTCGAAAATAGCGACACTGCTTGATTGGTTTCCGTTCCCGAATAACCACCGACATCAGCAGCCTTTCACGTGCAACAGATAACAACGCAGGGAAATCAAAAACGATAAAATCCAACGATGGGGGATGGAACTCTCGTGTTATAGCTTCACTGTATCATACTGCACAGGGAAGCGAATATCCCTGCTGATACCTTATCTTGTATTACGTCCTCCGTAGGCACTGTGCCACTAAAGGAGCTCCGCGAGACGTTGTGCTATCCAGGTACAGATCTTTTGCCACGCTTTACCAGATTACGTAATCCGCCACTGATCAGTGTGGTTCGTGCTGAACTGAAACCAAGGTTCTGTCATTTACCCATTCGAAATTTTATCAAGTTTACGGAGCAATGTGGACGACTGAACACTAATTTTAAGGAGCCAGTACCACACAGAACCCGCAAAAAAATACTTGTTCATGATAACTGACGAACATTCACGATTCCCCTCAGCATTTTCTTGCCCGATATGACCGTCTGTACTATTGTTACCGATCTTTGCCAGCTATTTTCTGTTCGACATATCCTCCTACATTTATTCTAATCGAGGCTCTTCGTTGATGTCAGATGAGCTTAAGCGTTTTACTCATGATACAGAAGTGACAACTAGTAGAACAAACTGCTACAGTCTCCAGCCAAACGGACAGGTAGGACGATTTATTAGTGCGCTATCGCTCTTAGTACAAAAACGCAGGTCCCTGCCTTGCGGTGATTGGGAAATACTCCTCCTTTATGTCTTAGATTATATTCGCTCCATTTTATGTACCGCTACTAATAAAGCACCTTACGAACGCCTTTTTAAGTATAATCACAAATCAACGCCTGGTACATCACTACCAACCGTCCCAGGTCCGGTGGTGTTACGTCACATCCCTCGACCGTCAAAGTATGAACCATCGGTTATTGAAGTTAACCCACAATGTGCATGTCAGACTGCCCAGTGGAAAAGAGGAGACTGTTTCCACCCATGCAAACGGTCACATCAACAAACAGATTCTTCTGCCGTGTCATGATTCCGAACTTATTGGTACATTATCAGACATTATAGATATCTAATCCCCAGCCAACGACATTACCCTGACTTTCATTCTACACCCTGTTTAATCCATTTTCTAGGGCTAACCCCTTGTAAACCTGCAACAAAGAGCTCGCCTGTATAATCTGAGAAATCGAGAGCTTTGGAGCGACTTCATTGTGCCCGGGATGAATGTAGTTTTATTCCATGCTCTCATTATCAACTGTACACCCCGCTTTCCCAACGGCGTGATTCTTTCTTCTTTCAGCATACATGTCCGAACTGTTACAATGAATAAAGCATCCGCTTTGGGTCTTCAGTCTTTTCAACCGAACCACCGAAGTCTGCTGCTATCTCACAACACGGTTTACTACAAAAGGTCATTAGGAAACGGCCGATAATTTCAACTATAATATTGGAGTTTCGGGTCCGAATCTTGTCGCAGTCGGTCAAGTTTCACTATCCGAAGCCCCTAAATGACCTTTGCAGTACTATTTTGACAAATCCAATAAATTTAAAATAAGTCGGTATATGCAGCTGTTTGATAACGAATCGAACAGCGAGATTAAAAAGTGGGAAGATCCCACACTGTCACATAAAGCTATCCTGTTCTGGCACGACTCAATTTGGTTTGTGATTAACGATGACCAGGTTGCCTTATGCACAGTCTATGATACTGCGACCATCAATTCTACTAAGTTATAACAGGCTCAATTATTTAGAAAATGGTATGCCCACGAAATTGAGAACCTTCAAGAGGATGAGAGGCATGGCCTCTCAACGTGGCACCCTTGTTTCAACCTTCTGACCAAGGCGATTTGAACAACTAACTTTGGGCTTCAGAGGCTCGCCGTTTTCGTGTTCTCCGTTAGTACCATAAATAAATTATTGAAGAATACGCATTATTCCCACTCGCCTTCCTTGGGCAATATACGTCATCGTTGGTATCTGCTTTTACTTTTGTTCCAAATCTGTGAAGCTAAGGAGATTTTCCCCATGCCAATGATGTTTCAGTCAGACGATTTCAACCAAAAAGATAATGGCTGAATTCAACACACATGGCGCAACTTCCTAAGCAATAACATAAGCACAAAAAAGTCCTCCCTTAAGATCTTGATTCAACAAGAACTTTGCTTTCAACTGCTACCACCGAAGAACCAGTTTCGTGGTTATAGAAAAAACGTATCAGGAATCTCTCAAGCTTCCTGGTAAACTTAGATGGAGTCCTGCTGGGGCAGGACATTCGACGGTTACATTAAGGTCATTTCACCAAAATCAAGCTCTGGAATCGACATCTTAAATACACTCGATTGATCTTCTCTAGAGATCAACAGTAAACTGTTTCTGTGCGAAATCTGGAACCCAGGCCAGACAAATATGAAGCTCCAAAAACTAAAACCTCACACTGCCAACAATCATTGGAGGTAAAACCATCCAACCCCCGAAATGTATGCACACGCGGTCCCTCTGATACATCTGATCTGTGGACACAGAAGAGTGGAGTCAGAAAATACACTCGACAGAGTACGAGACTTAACTCGTTGGACACAATAGCGAAGCAATAAGAACTCTTTGGTAACCTATGCGGATTACAGAAGCGACATTTTATAAGTCTTACAGTCACCAGATCAGCTCACACAATAAAAGTGCGCCACAGATCACCATACTTGGCTGTATGAATTCGCTTCCAATCATCCAGTAAGCGGATCTGCGAGGTCCAACCGAAATGTATAACACGCCCTAAATGGCCAAGTCCATTGGTCGTGGACAGCTACTCTTACCCATATTGCAAACGGTGGCTCAGAAAACAATGCACGCTGATGCGGTCTACCGTAGACACGCATAACACATTCCAACCGACATAACCTCAACATTAAACGATGCATCGCGTCTAACCTTGAGTACCAGTATTTCTACCCCTGGAAATAACATCATTGACGTAGCTGTCCCAACAGAATCAAATGACGCCGAGAAAGTACCGATTTTCTCACATGCTTATGTATGAGCTCAGCGGAATTGATATGTCCTATAGCCTCAAGAGCCCTCTGTAGTATTAGGGATGGCCGATAACCAGACCTGGTGATGGCAGGTTTCGAACCTCTGAGTTGGTAATTAAACGCTCCAAGTACTGAATCAACAACGGTCAGACAGTAAAATTTCAGCCGTTCTCAATTGTGACTGATCAGGTTTTTGAGCAGAAATAACCTGACTGGTGAAGCTTATACTCAGTCCCTATCACTAAAAAACATCACATGCACATTGCCAAATGCACCCTCTGTTTGGTGATAAAAAGTCATCCACAATATGACCGTCGGATGAAATGCTGCTGCCCAGGCAACAAAATGGGTCCAATTGGGCCCTACATCATAACTCCTTTCGCTCGTTCGAATGAAGGTAATTTTCCGTATGATCTGCCAGCTTAAGCACACAAGTGGTGGTCAAGTGGGTTAGAGCATTTGCTTACCATCTCGGAGGTCCGAGGTTCGAACTCCCGTCATCACCGGTAACTTTGGTGGTAGATAGCAATCCACTTAACCTATTGGGACCTTGTGTGATTCTTTGCCACTCCAAGACTCAGTCTGGTTGCCGGTTATCCTCGGCAGTGCAGCAGGCCTTCGTGGCTATGGAGTAAATGCCCCTTCCACTGCTCTCATGCGTGAGCATGTAAAAAAAGGCAATAGTTTTACTCCTTGCAGTCACAAGTAAATGCAACTAGATTCACAACATCATAACCCACTCTTGGAAATTCAAATCAAACTGTGCAAACCATAGCGATATTACACTTACGCATGTAGTCGACATCCATCCATACGTCATAGCCCCGCTTCTTTAGCTCATCGCGAACCTTAAGCATAATTGGTTTGGTACTATGCTGATAACTAATCATTATGTGACCTATCAATCTATGATGACGACGATCTTCAGCCATCATTTCCTCGATGGTCTGCGGTTGTTGACTTGCAAGACCACCGCTGGATGTTCCAAGAGTCCAAAGAATCCCTTTGGCTACGAGTTGACAATCGTTCGACCATCCGCGCTCCGTTGCAAACCGTTCAAACAGACGTCGAAAGTCAGAACCCGGCGCAAGACTTTGGTGACTTTCTGCAACGAAAGTTAGGGCCCACAAGAATTCCAGCGTGGCTACAGCCAGTGCGTCCGGGCTAACAGCACTCTCCACAACCTCGTGTGTAAAATCCATCGGCGTATGAGGATATTTCATTTTTACTGCTTCATTGAGGGAGGTTTCAATTACTTTCAAAGCATTGTTCCTAATTAGTAGACGCTTGTTGCGATCAGGTCCGGCCAAATGTTGCAAACCTTGCAAAAGTTCAGTTGCACGATATCCGTAGGTCCTTGAATAGTAAGTGGGCGGAAAGTACAAAGCGTCCTCTAATGCCGCGATGAGGTAGACCATGTGGATTTCGGTGGCATGCAATGTGTCATTTTCACTCTCGTCCACTAAAAAAGCAAGCAAGAGGAGAGCCGATATTCGAAGTGATAGGTAGTGTATTGACGACGTGTTGTCCGGAGGCGACCCGCTGTTATTCGAAAATCGAAGAATATTGAGGTCACCACCGGTTACGAAGGCCGTCAACGCTCGTACAGCATCCGAATTGCGATAAGCACCTCGAGTTTGTGGTATGTGGTTGATTATATTGTGTAAAATACCAATACATGAGTGAACGAGTAATCGCGCATTCTGTTCAATATGGCAAACTGAGGGATGAAGTTGCGGTTTGCGTAAAAGCTGAATCAAGTGAAAATGTACATCCGCTGAAACAAGCTTGAATGCGAAACTCTGAAGTCTGTCGGAAACATTCCACACCAACATGTGTAGCTTAATCAAGTTAGCCACTGGTCGGTTCTTCGGATTGCGCAGGTAATCTCTATCCTTTGTGGAGCAAATCAACTGCAGGTAACTTCGAAAATACTGTACAAATACTTCTGAGTCCACAATTTTCGCAAGCCATGGATCCAACGTGGCCTTGGCCACCATAATTTGGCTTTGATTTCGCATGTAATTAAATACGTCTCGAGTTGCGTCATCAAGAAGCGTGACCGACGGATCTTGAGAGATGCAGACAACAAACTTCTGAATCAGAGCATTCCTGTCTGTTTTAGCAGTATCGTTATCTTCACTTTCTTCAACAAAAAACATTAAGCTTTTGTTTTCCTTCCTCAACTGATGAAAAGCCGCGGGCAAAACTGCATCTGAAAATCGAATTTTATCAGGTGATAATGGTAGTATGTGATGAAATAAAAACTACAACAATGGTATGATTCAAAGTATACCTATTTTCAGGACAACGTCTGGTGGAATATCGACAAAAATACTACGAACAACCGTTTTAGGGGGTGTGAGCCCTGAACAATAGCCATCGTTATTTTAACGCTTGCTCATGATTACAGTGAAGAGGGAATAAATCAGCAGTGGTATAGGCAATATAACTTCGAATCCATGGATCCCGGACCCGCCACGCCGGTCACATAGGTGGTAAACAGTAACTAGCTATCACCCGGCTCGTATCCACGATTGACCTATTGTGATTTCACGTGATTCTCCACCCAAAATCTCAGGGTTAATTTGCGGTTATTCGTCAATAATGCTGTGTGCTTTTGAGGGTATGGAATATGTCCCTTCCCATGTATGTAACCTAATGAACTTGCTAAAAGCGGTTTGTTCATCATACCGTTTTTGCGCTTTCATCTTAAAATACTGAAGTTATTGTCTGACCAAAATATTGTTACAGTTACCATAACACTGTCTCGCATGAACGCTGCATGGGCATCGAAAACCCTGCAGATTTACCCCAAACGTTCATCCGAGATGACATGGCAATCAATGACAATACTGCGTAGAGGTGGCACGGTGAAAAAGCAGGAGTTTGAATACGCAACACCACCTTGTCCATTATCGGGTCACTTGGCACCACGCCCCTGTACTTTGTATCGGGTTATCCGTGAATGTATATATATATATATATATATATATATATATATATATATATATATATATATATATATATATAACCGTCCAGGTAACAAAACTTATCTACTTCAACTACGGCTTCCCCTCCCCCAACACAAGGTTTGGTGTAGAGACAACCCAGTCCTGTAGTAGCACTTTACACTATGAAGGTGCAAAATGCATATCAAGCATTGCTACACTGTTTATGAGGCTATCTAGAAAAACTTGCAGCTTAGCTCAATCTTCATTTAGAAAAACATTATCGTCAGCGTATTTCAAGTTATTCAGTCCACTGCCTGGGTGAATACTGGTGCCGCTATTTTCACACGAAGATAGGACTATCTCAAGGATCACTCAAATTACAAAACTGGACAGGAAGGGTGATAGAAGGCAATCCTGGTGAGCATTATTTCTCGCACTCAACTTGAGTGAAAGATTACCGTAAGCCTAAAGTCGGCTTTATCTACTCATGTACACAGATTTTCTGATCGAAGTGAATTTTTCTGGCGCATCCTTAGCGCACTTATTGTGGATGACGGTCGGTGAGATCGTCCCTCAAAACGTTCCGACCAACAATCCAGCCGTTCGATTCCTTCATCAGTTTGCTGACGCCTGATTTTTGTGAGATACAAATCTTATTCAGATAGAAAAGGCTGCGGCCGTTTGATAGCTGCAACCTTCTCCATATTCTTGCACTTCGCAATTCACCATTGCTCATGGTCGTTTCTCGGGCTCCAAATCATTTGGCGTCTGAGACATCGCCCTATTCCACCCTGTTATATATATATATATATATATATATATATATATATATATATATATATATGGGGTGTCTGAGAGGAGTAGCATCATTTAGATGGTAGACTGTTGCGTCCTTTGGGGCATCCACTATCTCCCAACTCTGATCTGTGACTCCACGAAGCTGAATCGTGCATTAGTGACCAAAACCCCGGCAAACCGATCGACAGGCGAGCTAAATCAGATTGAGGGTAAGCAATGCCTAAAACCCTCGCCGAAACGGTGTTCGGCATGCGAAGACAGATACTCCTGAATGGGCAGACAAGATCTACCGATCCTACAGCTGCAAAGGAGAACTGACCAGTCTACCCGACCCACAAGAGGCGAATAAGCCGCACAACAGGCCACCAGCTCATCCGGAACAACCCTGCTACCTTGCAGGCTTTAATTGGTTGTGAAAAGTCTAGAGGTGCACCCTCGGACAAAAAGACCGGATGAGGTACCGTCAACTTACTTCCTACTCCGAACTAGGCGACTGAGTGGAACAACAAACCCGAACGGTGCTGGGGACACCGCATCGTACTATGTTCCAGAGAATCTCCATGAATACTTTTCGCGATATTCATGGGGCTCTCTTATCCTCTAGCGACATAGTTGCGTGGAAGATAGAAGTCATTTCGGAGAAAACGAAGGCTTTTTCGACTTGCCATGGGCCGTTAGGTTAGCAGTTGTCCATCAATGGTCAGGCAATCGAGTACGTATAATCTTTCAGATATCTGGAGTCAACTGTGTCTGAATGGTCAGGCGAAGGACAAGGAATAACAAGAACTGACAACGTATGGAGAGCGTTTCTCCAGCTGCGGTGTGTGCTGTGGACACGCAGCGAAATCAATCTTTGAACCAAGATTTGCGTCCTGTGCCCCTACCCGACCGATGCCCACATACGGTGTGAAACCTGAACACCGCGAGCTGAGGATACCAGGGGGCTGGAGGTTTTCGACCACTGGTGTCTGCGTCGAATTCTTAGTGTCGGGAAATGCTACCAAACGACTAAATGAGACGATGCCGCGACATTGAACAGTCTTCCGTACTTTGTCTCACTGTCGTCTGCAGTGGTTAGACCATATACTCCGGTGACCTGACACGAAACCGTCCAGACAAACACTCAGCCCTGCATTGCGTACGGAATAGCGCTGCCGTCTTGAGGATGGACTGAAAACGTGGCTAAGCATTGTCGAGAAAGACATAGAACGCCTAGGACTGTGGATGGTTTACGGCCTGCAATAATGAGTCATTGTCTGCACCGAGCTTGCATCCAACCGCTGTGCATAATCGACGACATCCGTGGGGCCTACTTTTCTTCTGGAACGAGATAGTCGTGCAAAACCAAGCGTAAGTTTCTTATGATCAGAAAGACAATTATCACTTGATTCGGTAAGTACTGAAGCCGTTTATGCTATCGATAGCGTCTGGAAGGTATTGGATTGCTGTCGAGCCATCTCGAGCCAAAACACTTATTTTCAAGAAATCGCTGCCGGGCGCTGTTCGACTGCATCTCGCTTATGAGGGCGTCCCGAGTAGCGTCATTCTGGCTTTGCTCAACTTCCACGACCAGCAAATTGCGATCCTTAGCTAGGGATTACAGCTTTTAGAATTAATTGAAATCCTTACTTGCTTACTGTCTGCGCATTTCGAGCAGATAACACGCGAAGACTTCATTGCACAGCTTTATAAACAATAAATCTTGAGTTTGAATGGCATCGCCATTTGAAGTATGTTCGGTCACGTAAACGTATATCGTCAAATAGATATGACTGTATAGATAGTCCAGCTTTTCGGAATCGTCTACGCCAACTGCGGCGAGAAATCCATCGGATGTGCATGTTATGTTCAGTTATTATTTTTTATTTACCCTATTTTTATTACTGCCGCTCTACTAAATTTACGTTTTATTGTTTTCAGATCCCACCGTTCAGTTGTATGCCAAATAAAACCTTAATTCTAGGCCCTTATCTTCTGCCTGCCCTAACCATTCGGATTTCGTAACCATACACGTGTCAATTCATTTGACATACACACCATCTCAAAGTGGAACGCTATGTACGTCCTGAGCGATTCGACACAGATCCAAACTCGACTACTTCTTCGAAAATTTGGGGTCACTGGCTCTGTACGACCGATAAATTTCTCACCAAAGTTGGTGCCGTCGATTCTGAGAAGCTTGACTTCGTATACAATTGTCTCCGACCATATATAATTATGTGGCTGAATGTACCTCATACAACGATGCTATTAAAACCCTTGGAAAATTGTTTATCAAACTGCCCAATGAAATCTTTGCACGCTATCCACTCGCAATATGCAAGCAGGAAACGGGGAGGGATTTCAACCAGTTTTTTCAAAAGCTGAAATCCTTAGCCAAGGATTGAAACTTCCGGGCCGCGACAGCTGAGCAAAATCAAAACGATGCCATTCGGGACGCTTTCATAAGTGGGATGCAGTCAAACATTGTACGGAAGCGACTTCTTAAAATCTCTGCATTCGCAAACTGCGCTGGAATTAACTCGACTGCTCGAAATGGCCCAACAACAATCCAGCGCCTTCCAGACACCATCGATATCGTATACAACTTCGGAGTCAACACCCACCGAATCAACTGATAACTGTCCCTCTGAACAGAAACAACGTCAGCGGCGTTAAGAACCAAATTTTATTTCTGTGGGAACGACAGATATCCTCGATTCAAATGTCGTGCTATGGATGCGGTTTGCAGTAACTGTGGAAAGAAAGGACACTTCAAACGTGTCTGCCGATCACCTCTAGAGAAACGAATGGCCTCTGCAACAACACCTGTACTCTCTACTATTGTCACTGCCTCTTCTCCGGATTGGCTCTTAAATGCGCTAACAACTATTACCGTGAACAAAATCCCTATGGAAGCTCTGATAAATACGGGAAGTTCCGACAGTTACATCTCTGAATCCGTGGTACAGCGTCACCGTCTCAAAATCATGCAGTCATCTAGCGTCATCCCCATGGCTTCTACAAGAATAATCAGTCAAACGAAGGGTCACTGTTTTTCTAGCATATGCCTCAAGGATAATTCGTACAACAACTTCAAACTCTGTGCCCCGTCATCTGTGTGCGGATATATCACTAGGGCACGATTTTTTGAAATTCTACAAAGCAGTTGAGATTCCATTCACTGACAGCAAACCAACTGTCTCCCTTTGTAGTGCGACAGCTTCACGTATTGAACCTCCTTCTCTTTTTGGGAACTTGTTACCAGATTGCAGACCTGTCGCAACTTAATCACGACTCCATACTCCTGAAGATGGGGAACTCATTCGATCGGAAATTCAGCGACTTCTGAGGAACGGCATCACTGAGACACCAACGTCACCCTGGCGCGCTCAAGTCCTTGTTACAACAAACGAAAGACACAAAAGACGCATGGCAGTTGACTACAGACAAACTATCAATCGATACACGTTATTGGGCGTTT